CTCACATGTCAGTCTCTGTTTCCTGCATCTTAATGTAGGCACAAAGAGAGCCCTGTCTGCTGAAAACAGATAAGAAAAACGCACATTCTCCTCTATCCAACTTCAACTTCGCTCCATTCGTACCTTGTGCAGTTACTGCTGGGTCTGAGGAAGGTGAATGGAGAAACATCAAGATCTGACTCTAGAGTTGCCAAGTTACCCCTCCCCTGCTGATTTGGAAGCCCTTTAACCATTTTAATTTATTTTATTTTATTTATGTTACTTTATTTTATTTTGATTTTTTGTTTGTTTGTTTGTTTTGAGAGTGTCTCACTATGCAATTCAGGCTGGTCTTAAGCTCACTTTGTAGCCCAGGCTGGCCTTGAACTCACATTGATCCTCCTGCCTCAGCCGCCCGAGTGCTGGGATTACACCACCCTGCCAGGCTTTTTAAACATTTTTAGCAAATAAAAGAGAAAGTGACCTGCTAAATGTTTCCCAAAATGTACTGGTGAATTTGATTGGTCCTATAGGAAGAAGAGGGTATTGCTGAACACAAAGCAATGTCTTGTTCATGATGGATAAGCTTTCAGGTGCCAGCTCAAACACCCCACCCCACTCCCATAATCCCAACTCTGAGACTCTCAAATGATGTCATCTAGATGATTTCTTCCCAAAGGATCAGCCTCAAGGAGACATATCTCCTGTGGAAGCAATCTGAGCACTCACATACACACACAGTCTGGAGCCCTGGCCTCCAGGTCTGGCTCTGAAGGGCTGGACCACATTCCTCTACCTATACAGTGAAGTCAGTGGATAGATAATGCTCTCCACCACCCTTCTGCAGCCCTGAAGTTCTGTCACTCAGTGGGAGGTGGAGCTGGCTTTCAGAATGAACAGTAGCAAGCAGGCACCCTTTTAGTCCCATTAGCCTGAGTCCCTGCCTCCTGGACAGAAGCTGGGAGACAGGTATCTGGCTCCCTGGTCTGGGTCACAGAATCACAGAGTTATGGGTGCCTGGTAGGAAACCTCTGCTGTTATCAGAACCCATGTCCCTCTTCCCTCATCCAACAGAAGTTTACTAAGCAGCTATGTCAAATAGAATATGGGCAGTGGTGGTGGCTGTTGTGTTCACTGATTTATTCATGGCACCTAGCACAGTGGCAGATACCATAGCAGGTGCTTATTAAACATGTTTCATGGTGGGCAGTCTCCTACAGTAGAGTCATTTTGGGGTGCCCATTAGCTCATGGCCCACCTCAGACCTACAGAAGTGAGCTCTCTAGAGATATGGCCCCAGTCACTGTCATGGTCTCCAGAGTTTGAGAACCACAGCTGTAGTGTCTGAATAAAGCATTCTCCTATTAGCAGAAGGAAGAAAATGCTGATGTATTCACTTTGGAGCATTTGTCAGTAGAGACTAAAATAGTCAAGCCAAATACTGCAGGTTTGTTTTACAGTAGCCATCACCACAGAGCTGGAGAGCTCGGGCTCGGGGCTGGGTAGGCTCAGGGCTCACTTTCACTACTCTCAGGGGAAGCAAGGCCAATAAAAAGGCAGAGAAGGTAGAGGGAGCCACATGAAGTTTGAGTTTGGCATTATTATTGCCCTTCACTGGGAAGTCATAAAAAAGAAATGTGCCACCATTCCAGTTTCCCAGGGGTAGTTAGCTGCTGGGAGGTGTGTCTCCTCCTTTTCAAGGGTCGGAGGCTTGCACTGGGCACAGAGCTGGCTGCAGATCTCAGCTGTGCCTCTTGCCGCTTGGTCTGGAGCAAATCACTTTAACTCCTTTTAAGCCTCAGTTTCCTCATTCATAAAATGGACATTATGATTCACCCTACGAGGGTGTTGGGAGGATTAGAGATGACACAAGTTCAGGTGAATGGCACACACTCAGTACAGAACAGCTATGCTCTTTTGGCTGAGAGCTATAAAGTGCCAGCATTTCTGGGCCAGGGGATTCTGCAGAGCTTCTTGCAGCTACTCTCTTTGCCAGTCCTAGCAGAACAGTCAGAGAAGGCAGACACATGGCACAAGAACACCTAGCACCTGAGGTTTCCTGATGGTTTTGATCTTAATGGAGAATCCCAAGTTCCTGCCTGGAATAGAGAGGCAATGTGGCTGAGACTGTGGGTGGCCTGTGAAAAAGGAACCCCTGGGACAAGGTGCCTTTGGAAGGGAAGCTAGATCAGTCGAGAAAGCACCTTCTCACCTAAGCTTCTTGTCAGCGTGAAGCCTGTTCTGAGCACACGGAGATTAGGGAGAAAGTCCCAGAGGCTGAAGTTTGTGGCTTTTCTGTTAACACTGGAGTGTTAAAAACAAAAGAAAACAGAAAAGCCTCTCAGCAAGTACTGTGGAGGTCTCCCCTGGCAAGGCACCAAAGGATCCCACAGCTCTGCAAGGCTGTGATTACAGATGGCCGGCCAAGGGGATCCTCCAATCTCGGTCTCTGGGCTACAGAGGGTACAACACCAGGGATGAGCCAAGCTGAACAGGGACAGCTCTGGAAAGCATCCCACAGGACTCTGACCCTGGTGTCCGGCAGCAGCAGCCAAACCCTGGACCTTGGGATAGTTCAAGTGCTTGGTGCTAATGGTGATAATATTGGTAGTGAGGATGACAGAGGTGATAGGTACTTCCTATCTGCCAGATGCAGAGAGAAACAATTTGTTTCACATGTGTTGTTTCATTCAACCCTTACAAAGTCCCTATGTGGAGCAGTACCATTGAGATCACCGTATTAGAGATGAGAGAACCACGGCTCAGAAAGGTTAATAAGTAAATGACCCTTTTGCTTCTAGGTAAAATAATAGCCTGTTGCTATTTCATTCCAGGAGTCACATCAAAGTGTACTGGAATCTAAGGTAAGCCAGCAGCCTATAAGGGCTGGCCAGTGCGGTTAAGGGAAATTTACTTGATCCCCATTTTACAGAAGAGGATAGCCTAGATTCTCCCAATGAGGTAAGCACTGTGCCAAGCACTTTACATACATTATCTCTTTGGCATCATATCATTCCCATGAAGTAATTTTGTGATCCCCATTTGTATAGATGAGGAAACCAGGGCCTAAGACTAAATGACTTGCTGGGATTCAAAACCACACAGCATGACTCCAGTCCTCAGCCTTCTGAGTTGCCAGTTCTGGAACAACAAGTGGCAGGGCTGGACCAGAACCCAAGGCTCCTGATTGCCAGTCTAGTGCTCTGAGGTTGGACGTAGGCTTGCTGCTGGCATGCATTGTTCCTTAAAAGCGTGCTGGCCTTAAGCCCAAAGAGTGAAATCACACCCTGCGGTTCTGGGAACCTCAGACAGGAGGAGAAGGAAGCTCTTGCTCTGCTGTTCAAGTCTGAGCAGGTGTGCTGGGGACACTGCTTCCTCCTGTGGCTGGAAAGGAGGCCTCGCTAGCCAGCAGGGTGAGGCAGCCCTAGGAGTACAGGGCGGGAGGAGGGCGGGAGGCAGGCGTGCCCAATAAAACAGGCCCAAGTCTTCCCGCCTTCGTGCTCTCCTTCAGGCGATGCCCTCATCTCCTGCTTGGCAAACAGCAGGGCACAATCACGAGAGTGCTGCAGTCCAGAGGCCTGAGTTCTGGCTCTGATTCAGACACACACTCCGGGTGCATCCATGACCATCATTTTCGTCATGTGCCCGCTGTGTGTGGCGGTGGAGGGTGGTGGTGAGATTGAAATCCTCCAGCTTTTCCAGTTAACACCTTGGGTTTTTTTTTTTGTTTGTTTGTATTTTTGAGACAGGGTCTCGCTATGCAGTTCAGGCTGATCTTGAGCTCACTTTGTAGTCCAGGCTGGCCTCAAACTTGCAACGATCCTCCTGCCTCAGCCTCCCGAGTGTTGAGATTACAGGCGTACACCACCACGCCTGGCTAACACCTTATTTATTACATATATCTTATGAGCTGAAGGTACAGTAAATACAAAAGCAGATGTGAAGCTAGGTATGGTGGCACACACCTGTAATCCCAGCACTCAGGAGGCTGAGGCAGAAGGATTGCTGTGAGTTCGAGGCCAGCCTGGGCTACAAAGTGAGCTCAAGGCTAACCTGAACTGCATAGTGAAACCCTGTCTTGAAAAGAACAAAAAAACAAAACAAAACAAAAAACGATAAAGAAAAAGCAGATGTAGGACCTGGATGTGGAGGTATCCACCTGTAATCCTGCTATTCTGGGAGGCCAAGGCAGGAAGATTGCAAGTTTGAGCCCAGCCTGGGCAATTTAGCAAGACCATGTCTCAAAATTAAAAACAGGCTGAGGATGTAGCTCAGTGCAAAGGCCCTGAGTTCAACGCTCAGTACTGGAAAACCATCAACAAACAACAAACCAAGGGCACGTAGGTCCCTGCTTACATGAGTCTTAGGGTTAAGTACAGACTCAAATCACTGAAGCAAAGGTAGAATGGCAATAGCCCAGTTTTTAAAGCAAATGTGTATAGAACCAAGTGAGCCCATTACGGTGGGGACACAAGGGGAAAGAGTGGGTGAATGTTGATATAGAGGCCCTCATGGAGCGTTTACCCCAGGAACTCGGAGGCCAGTGGGCCTAGGAGCCCTGTTAATTCACGAAGTGGGCTGTGTAAGAACTGTTGAAGTTTTTTTTTTGTGTGTGTGGAGAGGTTGTTGGGTGGCACTGGGTGAGAGCCGTAGCCATACGATCAGGTATAACAGAATGCATCCTTTGAGGTATGGGCAACGTAACCTTCAAAGAAAAAATAAAAAGCCACTTCCTTTGAGGAGCCTTCCTCGATTTCTCCACCTTTGGCCTCCTTCTCTGGCCTTGAAGCGTGGGTAGAGAAACCCAGGCTGCCGAAGCTTTCTCTTTCTGCTACTGAAAGCTCACTGTGGCTTCAAACAAGGTTCTCCAGCCCCTCACCCCAAGCCTCAGTTTCCCCAGCTGTGCAGGAGCAGGTTGTTTGGCAGGGCCTGCCCAGCGCTAACGCAACGTGATTCGCTCTGGTAGGAGCAGGGAAGGGGGGCTGCCCGCATTGCTGCGCAGGCTTCGGGCTGCTGGTTGGGGCACTACCACCTGGCTGTGGGCGCCTTCCTCCCTGCAGGGGGCTGCAGGAACAGGTCGCCGCGCTAGACGCTGCGCAGGAAAGTGGGGGTGCGACCCCCGGCTCGTGCAGCCCCGCCTCCGCAGCCAGCGGCCCTGCGGCAGCCGGGGGCCAGAGCTCCGCCCTCCGCCTCCCGCCGGCCTCGCCGCCTCCTCCCGCCTCCTCCCTCGCTCGCTGGCTCCCTCCCCCCGGGCCCGCTCGGCGCTGACTCCGCCGCACGCTGCAGCCGCGGCTGAAGATGGCGGGGAACGACTGCAGCGCTCTGCTGGATGAAGAGCTCTCTTCTTTCTTCCTCAACTATCTCGCCGACACGCAGGTACGGCCGCTCGGGGCCGCAGGCCTGGGGCCAGGGTGCTGAGCTCCTGGGGCTGCAGCCGCAGCGGCGGAGGCCGGGACGCAGCGGTGGGCGCACCGGGGAGATCGGGGTTCCAGGCTGCAGAGCCCCCTTTCCATGCGCCGTGCGATGCGCTCCGTAACGGGGTAGGGAGCCAGAGGTCTCCGGTCTGTGTTGGAGCACTGGGGACGCATAGCGGCTGGGAAGGGTTTAGTCTGGGCCACCTGGAATCCGCCACCCCCTGCGGGCAAGCTGGGGGGTACCGCGCTTCCTCGGGGAGCTTGAGCCGCGGCAAGGTGCGGGAGGCCCTCGGGCTGACGCGGGGTGCTCTAGGCGCGCCCTTAGCGCCCCGCGCTTGCTGCCGTACTTTCACGTGGACTTGTGGCCCCGGCACGGGCGCGTACCCTCACCCCCGGAGTCTCCTCGTTCTTCAGCCCCTGGCCCCCGGAGCGCCGCTCTGGGCACCCCACAGCTCCCCGGCGACTCCCGCAGCGCGGAGTTTCCTGTCAGTTGCCGGCTGAGGGCTTGGGGTCTGCGGGGCACGTGGACCTGCGGGCGGAGATAGCGCCTTCCTGGTTTCGCTATCCGACCGAGCCCCTCCCGTGGAAAAAGCTGGGCAGGATGGGGGCGGGAAGTCTGCCCGGGGGCTCCGGGGTCCCCTCTGCGCCGCTCGGCCCCGGCGCGCGCTCCAGGACGCGGGGGGAAGGGAAGGCGAGGCGGCGTCCCGGGCTCTAGGCGAGCCTGGGACCCCCACCGGCGACACGCGCGTGACAGGAGAGGGTGCCCTGGTGTGCCGGGGTGGGGGAGGACTTGGGGGAGCTGGTGGCTCGCAGACCCGGAGGCGAGTGCTGCTGGGACAAGCAGTTTCCAGAGATGACTGCACAAGGTGTGCGCGCCCCCAACCCTTTCCCCCATTTCCCCCACCCCATGCCTGTTGCGAGCATAAAGTTTGGCTCCAGAGTTGGGGCTTTTTCAGCGGGCGCCGGGCTGCTGGCGACCGAGAGGCTTGAGATGAGGCAGAGCCCTGGAGGGGCCCCTGGATGCGAGGGGAGTTCGGGGCGCGGAGAGGGGCCGCCGGCAGGGCCGGGCGCGGCCCGCGGGGCTGCCGTGGTACCTGGAGTGGGAGCGCCGGTGCCGGCCCGTTTTGCATAACACAGGAAGGGAGGGGAAGGCAGAGGGGGCCTGGAGGTGGGAGGAGAGAGAGGGAAACTTTGCTGCTTGTTATAAGCTGCCAGTCTTTGGGCGGTAGCAGCTGTCATGGGACCGGGTGGGCGGGGAGAGGCTTGCAAGCTGACTCCTTGCGGTGAAACGCGACTCGGAGGGGACGCAGCTGCAGAGACGTTCGGCTCTCGGCGGACTCCGGGTGGCGACTTCGGGCTGGCGGCCGGGACGGCGCGGCCTGGCGGGTGTCGCCGAGAGGAAGCGCGGGGAGGGCGGGCCCCAGCCCTGCAGACGCCGCGGG